AGCACAGGTGGTTGAAGTGACCACGAAATCTTAATGAGATCCGCCAGCGCGCTTACATTTCCCAAAGTCCACTAAGCTTCCACGTCAGTTGAATACATTTGCTCTCTGCCTATAAGCTCAAGTTACATCTATAATCGTTAACCATTTTTCATTAATTGGCCTAAGGTCGGACTGTTTCACCCTCCTTATCTTAACATGGCTCTTTGTTTGAACGTGTAGCCTACATGAGGATTTTTCATCAACAGCTAGTCTGCTGAGAGAAAGGGAGAACAACTGTCGCAGATGCCGCAGGCACTAATGCGGTTAGATAACAGCGGACACCACCCTGTCCTATCTAAACTCATCTAGAAGTATGGGACCCATAACGTCGGCAGCAATATGACTTGAAGGTGTTTGTTCCAATTCCGATGTTTCGACATTTCCAAAGATATGCGGAGGGGAACTACAGCAGATGCGAAGCAAACTGAGAGGTGTAGTTACTATTCATGTCGGACACTTTGAACTCATAAGTTAATTTCCATGTTCACATTCAATCGCGGTGAGTTTTACACTGGCATCACTGACCCTCGACTGGCCAAATTGTGGCTGAAAACATGCCAAGTTGTTTAGGACATTGAGTGTCACAACAAAGCGAAGTGGATCATAGGGCGAATAGGAAATTTCTCGTGACCACTGGTTATCGCTTGGGTCCAATTCGAGATAGCGCATCGACCAGCCCCAAGTCAGACTGCATGTCCATGCTAGCCATCCGCATGTTCAATTCCTATATAAATACTGACTTCAGTTCATCTGGTTGCGGTCAGCACAAGAGAAAAATAATGCGGCATCACGCCAATTCAAGCCTCCACCGATTCACTTAGGCTGTCGTAAAAACCGATGCTTTGCTTACAAGATACATAGTCGTTCAACTTCCGATTGAACTGGATCTTGTGACGGCAGTACCGTTGTATTCCCCATCATCTGTTTTCATGTTTGCCTGCACAATCTAAGCGTTGTAATTCCAAGTTAGCATTTTTGCCACTGAAGGGACTGTACGAAATGCATACCTCGGCCGATGATCGTCTTCTAACTACAGCTGTCATGATGCACCTATGTGGCAGGAATCCGAAACGGTTGGAAATCGGCGAAGTGCTGTTGGCCACAAAGAATCGTCTAGCACTGCGTGCAAAAGTAATTTTGAACAACTAGTTAGTTTGCCTTGGTCATGATTAGTCTACTGATGTTTGTTCATGAATGTTTCACGTCTGTATATTAGTTTATTTTGGGCATGAATAGCGGCCTCTACTGATGATAGCAGCCGAAATATTAATATCTCGCGTTAGTGGTTATGTTTCTGCGTTGATGAAGTGATTAGAGAGGATACGATATTTCTCAGTTCTGTGTAAACATTCCTCTAGATACAAATCGGATAAACCATATGGTTAGACTCCGTGGCCATACCGATCTGCAAAGAGTCGTATGGTTCAGTTGATGCTTTTCCAATAAAAATAATTCTTGGTTTTCGGTAGATCAAGCTAAGTCCCTTCTGAGAATAACGGATCGCTGTGCACATGACAACGCCAAGAATGGCGCAGAAAACAGAAATACTATATAGTGATCGTCGCCTCCAAACTCGATTATGTTGCTTTGTAAGAATACAAACATCACTGAGAGGATAGACTAGTCATTGCATTTGATTGCGTAGGAACGCTAGTCATGCCGATGGGTCAATAATGGGAGTTGGTTAGTTCGCCTAAGCTGTCTACGCTGTCCATCGACAGATATATAGAAGAAAGTACATTGCTTGATTGGAACAAGCTTTCCCGTGCTGTTTCACGACGTTATTTGGTTTGCTGTGAAGCATGCTCTTAACTCCCGTCCAGCACTTTGGGCGCCCTAGGGATGAGAATTAGGTTTCATGATGTATACTCGTATTGACTGACTGGCCATAAACGATTTAGGTAAGGCGTTTGAGGACGTAAGCTTATTAAGCCGTCACCGCTCGCTGCGTTTTCACTTACTGCTTATGAATGAATTACTGATGTTTTGGACTAACTCACAAGAATAGTATTCCATTTCTCGTGTAGAATGCACTGATGCAATGCCAGTGGTTGTATTGACACACAAATCATGAGTAAATCAGCTATTGTTCAAGTTTCACCATTTCAAACAAACGCCCATGGGGATGTGTTAATTTCACTCGCTGCATCCATGTGCAAATTACAGCCGTGCTTGTCAGTTGCGTAGCAACTGGGTGGTCTGCGTGCATTTGTTTGACATTCGAAGTCTTCTGTCAAGCAGACAGATAGAGATGGCACACCAGGTTTCGAGTATGGCATAAAGCATTTGGTTTCAGCGCACTGGAATTCATCATACTCAACTCAGCTGCACAGAGGTCAGGATAAATAGATGAAAATGTATCGCCAGTTAGATTACTGCCAATGTGATGTGCTAGTGCTCTGGTGCAACCATGGATTGCTGTAAACGCATCGCGACACTCAGTCAATGCGATCCATTGATCAAAAACAAGCATTTACAAGTAGAGTTCGTTTATCCAATAGTTTGCATGGCGTTATGGTATCAGCCGAATTAGCTACATTTCAATAGGCATTTTGTCATTCATGGTAAGGGCTTGTTTGGACTTGGAACCCGGTCCTCTAAAGTCCTATGGCAAGGTATTTATTATAGAATAGTCCAAAGTCCTCACGAAGTGTGCATTTTTAACCTTATTTGTCACAATGGAATACATGCCAGATCATGGATACAGCATTTATTGCCATCCGACTAAAAGGGACCATTATTAAACGTGGTTTCCATATGCAAACGACATTTCGGCAAGCGTTGTGCAATGATCTGACTTTAACCTTCCTTTACATACTGATGTATGTAGTAAATTCCTTACAAATCTACATGTTGCGTATTGTTGAATTACTTGTGTAACCGCAGTAACCTCAGGTAAAGTGAATGTACTCCATTGAAGGTAAATGACCATTATTTGTTCTAAACAAATGGCGGAGGGATCCTGTAAAATAAGAACTATGGCGTTACTGTAGAAGTTTATCGAAAGTTCAAACTGTTAACTGCCATCATCCAATTTCAATCGTGGCTTGTATAGTTCTCAGTGGGTAACAGTCTTCGCTAGATTTGTGGAAGATTGGAAAGTCAAAAACTTTACGTCGGGGATATGCTCTTCTTGTGGAAAACAGTTCCGCTACAAGTACCTATGGTTCTCGCTTTCTTAGCTGCAACTACGATCTCGAGCAAAGTGTGTATCATGCCGACATATTTGAGACAACAGGAATCCGAAAGCCGTTAAGTTGATGGGTAATTTCGAATATATTGTGGTATCCACGGGCTATAATCTTTGTATGGGAATGGTGGGAATTGTCGTTTAGCTTCCTTCACGATTGCTCCAGTGTGTGCTCAAATGCGGGTAATTCCGCTACAGAGCTAACTGTACGGTGACAGACATAGGTCCCTGCGAACTATTGTTGTCACTGCGCTAAGCGGATCACGAACGGCAGCACTGCATGCTTGAACGTGCAACCGAGGTCATAAAATTGACAACAATGACAGTTGCCTTATCATGCGCGCAAAGCCAATGGTGGAATGACATCCCTTTCCAACTTTGTCGGTTATTCAGACGATTTGGTGGTTGGTAGATCAGACATCCCAGCAGATGAGAGATTACTGGCTGATGAGTGTAGCAAATAGCTGTGGGGGCACCATAAAGCTTATTGGCTTGTCTAAGCAGGTTCAACATTACGCTTTGGCTTATCCATTCAGTAATTTATAAATTGGTGCAGATCTCTCTGGCTGAAGTTTAAGTGGTGATGCCAGATCAGCGAAAACGAGCTCATTCGTATCCATAAGCAGTTTATCCGTTGCGCGAAACCATCAATATATCTTCACAGATGCCAACATTCGGATTTGTATTGAAAGGCATACTGTCGTATCCTTCAGACTCATCTCTCGTGTTCTTAACGAATAATACACAGCTCACGCATAGTTTAGATTGTATAAGCCGGATTGAGTTTACACACGTCCCGGAGCAATGATTCATCCCAGGACGTAGGATCGCAACTGCGCTGATGGCAGGGAAAATGGACAGTAGTCCTAGCAACAAGTAATGATACGGTTTGCAGTAGCAAGCCGTATCATTAACCGTATCCGGCTTTTGTAGTACAGAAAAAAAGTTATTAAACAAAACAGGTAAGCTAGATTGACATATTTTACCAAAGCATACTGCTCGTAATAGAATTTAGTTTTTCGGCCGCTCATTGTTGTGTAAACCGGGACTAACTATTGCGCAATTCCATTCTATCCTGCTACGGCCTGAATGTACAAATTCCAGTTGGTCACCAAAAGAATTTAAAACTAAACGGCTGTGTTTCTCATATTTAGTTTGACGGCGCATCAACGAAAATATGATAGCAATACTCTAGTTATGGTCGTTATTTAAGCAATGAACAATATGTCAGCCTGCGCATGGACTCAACCCAGAGAAGGACGATTTATGTTTCGCAGACAAAATAAAAATTTGGTGGAAGCTTTAGTAATGTCTGAGACCAGCACTCAGTTTTGAGCATGGTATATCTCTTATTTTTAAGCATGACCCTTTGAACATTGAAGGCGGAAAGCACTATTCAATGAAGAAGGTTTCGCTTAGATTCGCTTAGAGCGTAAGCATCAACATCTACGTTATCAATTGCTTTTTAGATGTCTAAATTTTAAAGTCGCTTAACTGTGACACTTGCTCCTGAGCCGCCAGATGTACGAACAACTGGCAGCACAGGCGAAAGCAGGATTCACACTCGCTGTTTTGCAAGCAACCAATAGTACTGGAGAGGGGACACCGTTGCAAACCACTCAGTGGTTATCAGTGCAGTACTTGCAGTGTGTGGGTTCAGCCTGTCACGCTTCAAGGCCAAGTTAGGCCAGGAATAAATTCAGCGTCCCAATTCGCCCCTATTCATGGTGAAGAATCAAGACGATGAGGAGCTCAACCTCATTGTTCGCAGCGCTTCTGTTGTTGGACATTGTGGCAGAACACGATGGTGAGTTGCACATACTGCGTTGGTTCAGTGTTTACTTTGGATCACTAAGTTTGTACAAATATACAGCTTGGATCTTTGACTTTACCTTTTACAAATAGCTCATAGGTGTCAACCGATAATAATATGCTATCGTGTGCTTTAATTAGATGTTCCTACAGTTTGATAGGATGGGTATTATGATTCACAACCTATGAACGTTAATCTCCTCGTAACATAACTGACCGACTACATTAATGAAAACCGACATAAGGGACAAGCGCGCTGCATATTGGCATGTTATATTCGCATCATAAGTGCCAATTTATACCCAAAATAGCATTTAAGCCAATTAGCATTCGCAGTTAGTGAAACTCATTGTGGTAAATAAAGTAAACAACTGTGGATACCAAATTTAGAACATGCGAATAGCTATAACCTTGTCAGGATATTCCTAAAAGTTTATCCATTCTCATTATTCGTATGAAATTGACAGAACGCGGAACTGTTATCGGCATCATTTCTTGTGAATCCTGGATGACATTCTGATTTTGTTTATTAGGGTGGCACGGGTTTTACTATTTTATAATGGCTAATGCAAGTTTACATGTGCAGCCGATGTAAAGTTTTACAGTAACAACCGTATTTGAACTAAAATGTGTATCAGTAAAGCTGACGTCCTTGGATTTGTTACTTGAAATGTCGCGAAGAGTGTGTACTTTGAAAATCACACTGTTAACATATCCATAACCCCTGCGTGATATATACATACGGGCATAAGCGTTACTTGTCTGTCGAAGACCAGTTTTTACTTAATAGCGACCTTGGTTTTCGAATTGCATTTTCATGCCACAGAAGTTAGCCAACTAGTTACTACTAGTTACTAGTTGCTCTGTTGTAATAACAATCCATATGTAGATATTTATGATTCCAAATCAAGCGATTCAGATAACCGTTTTATATAACAGTGCCACTAACCTTATTGCTCTCGATTGTTTTCTAATGAGGCAGCATGATAGTAAAGGGGGAGATGTATGCTGAACGCCATGTTTCATTATCATCCTCTTGCCCTAGATACGGTAGCTCAAAGTGATTGCAGTAAGTCACGAAGTGAGAAGGAAAAGGGCACAATACGCAGCCCCAACTATCCAAAGTGGTATGGACCTCATAGGTTTTGCAACTATGAAGTCGGTATACCGTCGAACAAGCAAGTCCTACTAAACTTTACTGAAGTTGCCGTAAGTCTCCTGGGCCGATTCACTAACAAAAAGTGGTGGTGTTCATAACATTGCGATTATCATAAGCGTAAAGTTGACTAATAGTGAAGTGAGAAGGGTGAATAGATGCTAACATTGTTTTCCTTAACATGACGCTAACTTTTTTGAATATTGAGACATTTGCCGCTTGGTGGACAGTACCGTAGATGTATTTTTGTCTGCTGATATCCTCCTCCAGTTAAATATGGATCATGACAGAATCGTGGTATTCGATGGCCCTGATTGTTTATCTAAAAGGATCGGTGTCGTACACCATATGAATACTCCGGCCTACGTCTCTTCCAGCAATAGAATCAGCGCTCTGTTTATTACCGATGGAGTCTCAGGACCTTGGAGGTTCAAGGCAGAATACTCAGCAGGCAAGTGCCATTTGAATTGGATCAAATGATTGCTTATAAGCAGCCGCAATTGTTGATGGATTGTTTGGAACTGCAACGAAACCGTCTATTCGCCTTCGTTCTTTCCGTTCAAACAGCCTAGAAAACAATTGCAAGCAATTTTATTTGCCCCCATTGTGGTTGCCAACTTCGACTTGTTTGAACGGATTGCTTTGTAATGGATGAGTGAACGTAGTGAGCCTCGCAACTGTGGTACAATAACATCCCCTTTCGAACACGTTGCCTTATGGTGTCTGGGACAGTATTCAGATTCACCCATCCAAAGTAGTCTTATCAAATCAGTGCGTTAAATTAGGAGGTTTAACACAAGAAATCCGTTTTTAGTTTTTTGACTTCTGAATATTTCTTTCGTTCGTTTCGATCTACTTAACTTTGGCTGATATCTATGCTGCTGTTTCATCGTTCGCTTCTTGTAGCTGTAATCCAAAGAGTCGCAGCAAGGCAACTCATGATATTTAGACAATTTGTTTAGAGCGCTTAGAGTGGTATTAGACGTAAAAGGCCAAACACCTTCCGTTTTGCCACTCATTCATCTACTTCAGGTTACCATGAAACAAGCATAATTCCAGTTCATGTATTAAAGTCACCATAAGTTGCTATCAAGAAACGGAAGGCTTGACTGTTAAATGAGCAAACCACAAGTTCATGCTACCTTAAACAGTTAAGTAGACTACATCTATTTAATTTCTAGAGAGTCGATCTGCTTAAATATATTCGTCCCCAAAGGACAATAGCTGCAAGGTCTTTTTCTTAGATTCGCTCTTATCACTTTAAATTACCCAAACTGTTCTACTGGTTAAGCAACATCAGATGCCAATAAAAAATCCGTGACGAGGCACATGTTTGACCGATGTGTGTTGAAAATTTACGTGCACTTGTTAGGCAACAACCGCACTCACTTGTGTAGTTTTCTACAATTTCTTCTCCTAACGCTTAGGTAACTGTCATACTTATATGCCTAAAGGAAGTTATTGCCCGCATATTTTGCCAAAGCTGATCCTCTTGCAAACTAACCGTGTGATAGAACGTTAGATAAGGCGGAGCTAATTGTGTACATCCCGACAACTCGACACCCAGCCACTCCTGTTTTCAAACGAGCTCTATCCTCCTCGTGATGCGAGCTCTTGGGACCGATATCCACCCGATGTTATGAGCTCAGTTGGCGTAGTTGTGTTGCGCCTTACGGGTACTAACTTTCCTTTGGGTGATAGTCTCTGGGATGAAGGCCATTGACATACACAAGTAGGAAGAAAGAGAGAACAACTACTAGCGACCAGCAGTATTGAGATCTCATGAGTTTTATTCGCTTGAGCTGGCTGATGCAAATCCTCGGACTGGTTAGGACCACGGCTTGGGGTTTTACAGAAGCAGTCTGGTTGATTCATCTACACTGGTGGGTAAAGGTAGAAGACAAGACACATCATACGTCTTGGAAGTAAGGTGATGAGACAACTCGGCCAATGCGAGCCCGTTCTATTAATAAAGTTGACTTTAGGTGGAATCTATTCGCTGTAATAGGCTAGCAGTGTAGATATCCGAACGTAGGACGAAGAAAAAACCAGGTCTCCAGTCATTGAAGTGAAACATCGTAGTTATGCCAGGGAAACCAACCACCACATTGCAAATTTTCGGAAATTTCCTCGGATTCACCGAGTCCGAATCAACAGGTTGATACCGCTTCATGTATACTCCGCAGTTCTTACAGTGACATGCGTGTAGCCTCTGCCAACTTTTCAGCTCATTGTGGTGAATAGTTATGTAACTTCGCTGTCTCTCGAAAGCCGAATGTACTGGGGTTTCTGAAACCTGGTTTAATTCTGAGGTCCAGTTCAATGGCTTCTTGTTCTGCGCATGAAACGAAACATGGCATCTTCCAGCTGATGTGCTGCAATAAATTCGGGTTTCCTTGGTCGAGAAAACTAAGGCACCTGTAGCAGCAAAGATGCCTAACGAGAACATCGGCGGTACTTCATCCATCCGATAGATGGTGAACTTTTGATGGATGTGGCCTGTGGCAGTCCGCTAAATCGTCATCATTACTGGTTGTCCCATGCGAAAAACCACATGATTCGTCAGAACTTCCTCCTCAATCGTGATATTACCTCACCCATGGTGTATTGTCATGAGGACCAACGCCACGTAAAACATTTCGAAATGGAGGTAGATATATAAGACAGGGTCACCGCAACACATGTGCCAACCAACGCACGTAACTCTGTGGAGCCTAAACCAGATGTTGACTAGATGAGAGCAGCGTATTTACGATGCCCGGGTCGTACAGCAATTGTCTGTGTAAGCTAAGTTGATTTTCGTAGTTCCTAGTTCAAAATTCTGACCGGTTTCAGGCAGCGGTTGTACATCGAATAACCGATAAGATTATATCACTGGGAACGAGTATAAGCCAGGACGCCACGGAAAACGTGTGCTGGGATTGTGGTAAACAAGAATGGGACAACCGAACACCATTCTTCGGCAGCTACAACTCAAATGTCTTTGGTGGACTTCGATTGCTCCGGGAGCTCAGTCAGCTATGCTGCGATCACTGCATAGCTACCCGCCATGCCACACTTAGGATTTCATATGTTGCAAGCACGACGAACTCGAACTGACAGACAAATATTAGACCATCATCACTAGGATTTAAGCCAGGAGCAACGAGCACCCGACCTAGCATTTCTAAAAAAATTAGTCAAAAACTAACGCCTTAACGGCAGTGTGCACGTCTGCCCTCGATCTCACCGTCAACACAAGTTTTCTGACGAACAGACTAACATTGATCGGTCACTAGTTAAAAGTCAATGCCTGACATGTCTCATAAGGTTACTGAGGTGAAGCAAACGAAAGCAAAATTAGGGGAAGCTGCTACTGAGCGTCTACCGCGAAAATTGCGTTTGGTAATAACTCCAGCGTAAAATGAAAAGCGAATTCACGCATACAGAGGTACACAGACTACAATGATTGTTGACGTATAGTGCGCTGACAATAAAATACGGTCGCGTACTCATGTGCCGTTTCATAGCTTCCATGTGACACATAGGTCCGGTAGACCATCATGATTAATGAAAGCAAGAATTGCGCAGGGAATTTAACGAAGTGGTGAGAGCTTAGAGAAACGTACATTCGTCTTTTGAATAGGTTCAAATGTAGAGAGGATACAACTGCGTTTGGGAGAGTTCCAGAGTTGGCTAACCCGAAAGGAAAACTAATTCGGTCCGCACTCAAGACCGCTGTATTAATCACCGTTTTTTGTGAAGATTCGTCGCAGTTTGACTCAGGCAGATATGTACCAAACATCCAGGAAATCCTTAGACATATGTTTCGTCCTATTGGGACTCCTCGGTAGTGCGCACCCGCCGAATACTGCCGGATTCGAATCCACTACCTTTCCCTTTCCAGTCAGCGACTTAGGCCCCTGAGCCACATGCGTCGGCAGCGGACCGCCTTGCCTGAAAGCTAACTGCGACATAGCGTATCTCATACTCCACATTCATGCATGCGATGAACCTGCAGAAGACAGAGCTGGCTCGCAGGACAAGGACTTCATTAGCAAGCAACCACACATCTAGGTGGCGCGTAATATGCTAAGGCGGCTACTGATTAGATTTATGTATCGTTGGATTTATTTGATACATTTTGTGGCATCGTGGAAGCTTACATGCCACCTCGATTGGTTGCTGCTTGAAAAGGAAGTCGTGGCTTTGGAGGCCAGCCCAGTCCCTGCATGTTCATAACATGCATAATAATAGGGGATGAGCCGCGCTATATGGCAGTTAGATATCAGCCATGGCGGTCCGCTGCCGTCGCATGTAGATCAGGAGCCTAAGTCTCTGGCTGACAAGGGAAAGGTAGTGGGTTTGAATCCGACAGCATTCGGCGGGTGCGTACTACCGAGGAGTCCCAATAGGACGAAACGGTTGTCTAAGGATTTTCTGGATGTTTGGTGCATTTCTGTCTGAGCCTAACTGCGCCGAATCTTTACAAAATACAGAATAAATCCCCCTACAGATTTTTCATTGTTTCAAACAGTTAAGTTTTAGCTAACGGCAGCATACGTGTTTGAAGTCAGCAACTCCAGCCTTTGCTGGTAAGAGTGATTGCGCACGCCCTTGACATAGTTTGTTGCCTTGGGTAGTGGTGTCTCTTGTGCCTCCAGCTCACGTTTCAAGCAAATTTGCCAATTTTGATGTCGCATTCAGCACGAGGGCGTAGATAAGAAGTATGCATTATCCGGAAGACTGACGGGTCAAGTTTCTCACATACCAGTTGTTGCGCTGTTCTACGATTTGCGCAACTCGATTGCAAATATTCAAAATTCTTCCTAAACACCGCTTGGAGCGGGCGGACCTGCTGGTCACTCTGTACGAGCACAACGAGATCACGCTCCTTGGGGTTGCTTTGTAATCCGTGTGCCCCAAGCCAATAGTTTAGTCATATCTATGGCGCAGTTGAACAACAGACATTGGTCTATTTTGAATGGTAAGCAAGCTGAACTGACAAGTTCGAAACCTTGCTGAAATCTCACTGGAACCCATCATGGTCATCCGGTTCGCTGATCGACCGCCAAATGCTGGTATCATCTGCGGACAATAGGGAATCGTAATCAAGTAGATTTCGCTAGATCGTTTAGGAAACTATGAATATACGGGGTCCTAGAACCGAGTCTTGGGATACACCGCACTCCACCTCAAATGTATTAAGCAACGATGCTCGAAACTTTACCTTCAACCGATAATCATGTGGACGTTTTGTTTACTCAAGATTAGGCCACTGACATCGCATTTTTGAAGTTTATAAAAGGAATTCGATGGTCTAAGAAAGCAGCTGCTTTTTAGAAGTCCAGATGGATAAGATCAACTCTTGCTCCAGAAGCAATCACTTCACTCCAGCTATTGCGTGCATTTGACATTTTCGTAGGGCGTGAACGGTTTCGTCGAAAGCCATTTTGCCCTGAGGCTCATAAGTTGCGGTTTTTCAGATACTGCATCAGTGT